CATATACCCCATGCACCCACAAAGTACACTGCCTAAGAGGACATGAAACAAAACATGAAACTCCCCACCCAATGCCTCCCAAATTAAGTCTTTCGAGTCCCTCCTTCGGCTGTACTGGGGTTTGAACTCAGGGCTTCCTTCCTTCTAGGCGGGGGCTTTACCACTTGAGCCACGCTTCAGCCCCTCTTTTTTATTTATATGAATTTTATAAGACGCAGAGTTCCGTCTCTAATTTTTTTTTTCCCTAAGGTCCCTGGAAAGGATGCAATTGCACTAAAAACAGGTCAAGATATTTTTACATAATTAAAATGAACACCCCCCCAAGGGGTCACAATTGCAGGTCGCCCACTCCACACCTTGAACTCTCCACCTCTTCTCTTCCATCCACCTGCACCCACTCCCCCCACCTTCTGCCCAACACCTCCATCAGGCTCCTCTTCATCTCTTCTTACTTCCCCTTCCTTCCTCCTCTGTGCCCTTGGACCCTCCATCCTCTCCCCCCCTTTTCCTCTCCCACCTGCGCGGCTTTCTCCTGCAGCCTCTTACTGCCTCTGTTCCCACAGATTTCTTTTTCTAACGTGAATTTTTACATCTGCATTCTATGCAGCTTTGTGCTATCTGAATGCGAGTGCTCAGAAACCTGCTCTCGCTTCTTTGCCTGTTTCCTTTCCTTCTCCTCCCCCCCTTCCCCTTCCCTTCCTTCCTTTTCCTCAGTCCTTCACCCTGGGTCCACCCAGCTGAACCTGACGTCTGGGAAGCAAGCTGTCTACCCTCCTCTTCCTTAGGGCTGGCTTCCTTCCCTCCTGCTGGGGAAGTCCCCGATCCCATACCCACCCCACTCCTTTGGGGCTGTGACTTTCTCCTCTGGGAAATGAGTTCACACCCCATTTTAGAGGGACATTTGTTTTCCGGAATCTTTGTGGGCTCTTAGGACCTCTGGAGTCCCACTGCTCCCTGGGGCCGGACATCTCCCCTCTGCAGGGGCTCAGCCTCCTATGGAATTGTCCTCGTCCATCTGGGGGGGCCTCACTCTCTGGGCTATCCCCCCCCTCCCAGAGCCACAGGGCACCACCCTCACCTGAGGAGGGGAGCTCCGACTTACAGGATTTGCATGTTGGGCTGTGGGGGCAAAGAAGAGAGAGGAGGTCAGAGGTTCCACAGCCCTCTGTTAGGGGAGCACCCCCGGCCCCCCGCTGCTCCCACCACCCCCTTTCCTCTCCCACTGTGGCCAGACCTCTCAGACCTGGAGTCAGCCTTCCTGCACTTCACCTTCTTGCCTGTGAGGAGAGAGAGAGGGAGAGAGAGCAGAATCGGGACAGACAGGAGGAGGACGTGAGGACATGGACAAAGCCATGGGACCCGCCGGTGCCCAGGAGCTCCCACTTACTGACGATGATGATGACGCCCAGAAGGAACATTACGGTAGCCAGGACCATGCCCACGGTCTGCACTGTGGCGTAGTCTAGGGAGGATGGGAGGGACATCAAGGCCGGGAAGCACCTCAGCCGCCCCCCCACCCTCTCTCACCCTCAAGGCCCTGTGTGATCTGCTCTTCCGCTCTTCTCAGGCCTCAGCCCACCCCAAGTCTCCCCATCGAGTCTTTCTGCAGTATTACCGGGTGTTACCCTGCCTCAGGGCCTTTGCACTGCGTTCCTTCTGTCTGAAAGCCCTTCCTCTAAATACCCACATGGCAACTTCCGGGTTTCATTTTGATCATCAGTGGAACCTTCTCTGGCTATCCTATTTAGAATTTTCCCCGCCAGTCCTTAGGTCTTTTTAATTCTGTTCCCTCCTTCACTTTCCTTGGTAAGCCTTGTTCTCGTCTCATAGAAATACTTTTCATTTTACTTCCTTGAGACTCTTTCTTGCTTCCTCTGAGTGTACGGTCAAGGAGGCACACTACAGTACCTGGCAAAGTGCCTGGCAGGGAACACGGGCTCCATAAACATTTGCAGAAATGGGAATTTGTGGAGCTCCCACTCTGCACCCGTGGTGGGGCTGGCAGCTGACTTTCATATCGTGATGAGACAGCAACAAACTGAACAAGCAAAAATCCCAAATCCGAGTCATGGCTGGGTGTGGTGCGGGGGAGGAGTCAGGGAGAGCCTGTCCTAGCGATCTAGCAGTCAATATTTGATCCGAGGCCGGAGGAAAGGAAAGAGTCTTGACCTACTACTTGGAGAGGAAGGGAAGAATGTGCCTGGCAGAAGGGACAGCAAGTGCAAAGGCCCTGGGGTGGGAAGGAAATTGGCCTATTTGAGCAACAGCAAGAATGAGCAAAGATGGGAGACAGAAAAGCATATTCAGAGAAAACTTAGAGCCACCACTCACTTCTTTGAGTTTCAGTGCCTTGGGGGGCATCAGTGATGCATCACTCAGGAAAATCTGTCCCACAGGCCTGGTGGGTGTGGACTATCACTACCCCGTGATAACAGAAGGGGCCAGAGAGGCAAAGCAGTTGCCCAAAGCCACACAGCCAGAGAGTGGGTAAGTCACGGTTAAAATCCAGCAACCTGGCCTTAGAGTCACTATTAAGCTTTTCATCGTCTGCCTCTCTGATGGTCTCAGGGCACCAGGCCAGTGTCCTAGTGAGGCCTGAGGTGGCTTAGAGAGACCTGGAGACTGTCTTATTTCCCACCCCAGCTGGCATGAGCCGTATGCACGTGGTCACATGGCCTGTGTGTCAGCAGTGGCCCCTCTGTCCAGCCCTGGGTGCCCCTCACAAAACCTGACACTCACCATAGAAAAATGGGTCTGGTTCCTCGGGAACTGTGGGAAGGAAGGCAGAGACAGAGGGAAGACATTTTAACACTGGGTTGCTTAACATTTTCGAGGACCGAGATGGAATCACTGGCCCCGTGGTTTCTTTGCGGATGGTACAGCCTCCTCACAGAGCACAGGCCCGAACGTGCTGCCCAGGACGGATTGCAATCCCGCTCATTCTGTCACTTGATACTGTGCAGTGTTCTAGCTACCCAACCGTACATGGCAGTCCTGGTCCTAGACCCTATGGAGGCCGGATGCAAGCTATGGACTTATTCCCTGAAGAACAGTAACAAGTTTTTGTTAACAAGACCCCAGTCCCGCTGATGGACTGGCTTCTCCTGAGACCTCCCAGGCATCTGAGAGCCAGCCACGGATGTAACCACTTCCTTCAGTCACTCACCCTGTCACCAAGGCCGGGCCAGGGAGTGCAGCTGATTCACATCCTAGTCACTGATTTCTAAGACACCAGCGATTTTAGGATTCAAAATCCTGAATGTAACAGCATTCCTGGTGTGTGTGTGTGTGAATGTTTTTGTACCACCTGAAACATACTCATCCATTAAAAGACTCCCCAGTGCTCACGTGTGGATAGGAGGTACGTGTGTGTCTGTGAACCTGGTCTTTCTGATCTTCCGCCTCCCTGACCCAAACCCGAACTCAGAAAGCCAGATGTGGTGGCACACACACATGATCCAGGCACTCGGGATGCTGAGGCAGGAGGATCACGAGCTCCAGGTCAGCCTGGGCTACTTAGTGAGACCCTGTCTGAGAGCTAAGAGAGAGAACAGAGGGGAAGGAGCTTAGTTTCTCATTCAAGAAGTCCACCCTCGCTGGGTGCCAGTGGCTCACGCCTGTAATTTTAGCTACTCAGGAGGCAGAGATCAGGAGGATCTCCGTTCAAAGCCAGTCCAGGAAAATAGTTCACGAGACCCTATCTCAAACAACCTGTTACAAAAAGAGCTGGTGGAGTGTCTCAAAGTGTAGGCCCTGAGTTCAAACCCCAGTACTGCAAAAAAAAAAAAAAAAACCAAAAACACAAAAAAACAAAAACAAGTCCACCCCAATGGCCTTCTTCTACCTCCTCTGACAGGTCTTGTCACATGCTGCCTTGTCTGGAGCTGGAGTCTGCAAATTGTACCACTAGGGAGGGGTGCTAGGGTGATTTCAGGTTATGTCCTTCTGGGATCAGAGAAGAAGTCTGGGTAGAACTGTGACTAATTCTGGCCAATGAACTGAGTGAAAGTGTCATTGTCCCTTCCAGGCAGGATTTAGTGCTCATGCAAGAGGTTTTTTTGCTTCTGGCCTGGTGTCCTGAACATTCAAGATGACGACTGCCCTAGTTTTCTTTAGGGAGTGGAGGCCCTCATTCAGCCTGTGGTGGACTGCATGTATAAGCCCTAGTGGTCACAATCCAGGGGAGACTTTTGGTGCTATTTGTTACTGAAGCAAATGTAGCCTAAGCTGACTGATACAGGTGGCCCCAAAGCAAGACCCTAGATAGCCCCGATTCACACGTATGTAAGTTTGCCCTTACCAGGTCTCTGTTCAACCTGATATCTTTCATATTTGCTGACCCTTGTGGATCTCTTCAGGGTTTTTTTTGTTGTTTTTTTTGTGGGGTTTTTTGGTGGTACTGGGATTTAAACTCAGGCTTCTCATTTGCCAAGCAGGTGATCTGCCACTTGAGCCACGCCTCCAGCTCTTTTTGCTCTGGTTATTTTGTGGATAAGGTCTCACTTTTTGCCTAGGCCAGCCTGAGTTGGTGGGTGAAATCCTCTCACCAAAGCTGGGATGATAGGTGTGTACTGCCATGCACAGCTTTTTTCTATTTAGGTGGGATCTTCTGAATGCGTCTTCTTCTTTTTTTTTTTTTTTTTTCTTTTTCAGGGAGGGGAGAGAGGGAAGAAGAGAGAAGAGGAGAAAGAGAGAGAAATTGTGAGTGGTAACTGTTCTTTGGTTTTTTTTTTTTTTTTTTTTTTGGTGGGACTGGAGTTTGAACCTAGGGCCTCACAGTTGCTAGGCAGACACTCTACCTCTTGAGCCACTCCACCAGCCCTTTCGTGAACTTTTTTTTGCCTGGGCTAGCCTGGAAGCTCGATTCTTCTGATCTCAGTCTCCCATATGCTGAGGATGATAGGTGTATACCACCTCACCCAGCCATTGGTTGAGAGGGGGTCTCAGGAATTTTTTTTGTTTTTGCTCCGGCTGACCTGGAACTGTGGTTCTCCCAATTTCAGTCTCCCAAGTAGCCAGGATTACTGGTGTGAGCCACTGGTGCCAAGCAATCTCCCCTCTTAACCCAAGAGAAAAATAGGCCTTCAGCAGGCAACAAAGTCTAGGTAGAATTTTGAGACACTGGGTTTTCTCTTTTATTATTTATCTAGCATTGCTGGCATAGGCCCTTACCAGGCTCTCTTATAAGCACTTTCCAGTTGTGTATACACTTAATCTTGGTGGCAACTCTCTGATCTAGGTGTGTGTTCACCCCCTTGCATGCCACAAAAGGGGAACACTGGACACAGAAAAGTCAAGTGACATGTTTAAGATTATTTTTATGCTTGTCTTCAATTTAAGACAAAAAAATACTCATTGTTTTTGCTTGGGATAGCAAAATAAAATCCAGTTAATTAATTTTTTTTAAAGTTAATCCTTAGAAGGAAAAATATTAACTAAATAGCAGTGCAGGGAACATAGAACAAAAACCTTGAAGGTGGTACTGAAAAGCTGGTGACACAGAGTCTTAGAGTCCCCTTTGCTGGCTCTGCTCCCCCACTAGTCAGTGGTAGATTTGCTTCACCCATCTCTGCTGCTAAGATCCACATTTATGAAAGGCTCTTAAAGAAGTTTTCTGGGATTGGAGAATAAATGAGTGAATGAATGAATGAATGAGAACCCTTCTGGGCTGCATCTAAGGTGGAGAAATTGGACTACCCTCACTGTTGTCTCCTGGTTTTCCCACAAACCCTCCTCCGGAGCTGTCAAGAGCCCCAGGTAAGCTCCTGTCCCAGAATCCTCCTGGGCTCCTCGCTTAGTGCTGAGGATTCATGCAGAAGGTCCTGTGCTGGTCCTTGCTGGCATCAGTCCAGATCCTCAGGGTGTGGCTGGGCTAAGGGCGGAGCCACAAGGCAGAAGGAATGTGCACTACTCCTGGCCACTTGCCAAGGAGAGATCAGGAAGGAGGTGGTTGCCATGGCAACTGGGGCATCTTAAGAGGTGATGGCCCCGCCACTCTGGGCTGGGTCCTGTGTGAACCTTGGGGTTGGGCCCATTGTGACTCTGTCTTCTCTCCTACCTCCCTGTGTTGCCCCTGCAGAACTGGCTTCTGGCCAAACTGAGAGTCCCTCTCAGTGACAAGGACCCAGGCCCCCTTGTGCTCACGTGTCACCTTTCTTCTGTCGCCCCTAATTCTCCCTCCCGTTCTCTGGCAGGGTGAGAAGCGCCTCACCTCCTTCCCTTCTTTCCCCCAACAAATCATTAATTCATTTCCTTAAGCAGCTTGCAATGCACAACATGCTTTTCCTCTCCCGGGATTTCCAAAGACCTGCGGTCCCCTGTCGTGCTGTGACTGGAAGTAGGGGGGCCGAGGCATTTGTCCTCCAACCTCTGCCCGTCTGCTCCCATCGATCCTGCTAACCACCACCCCTGCGAAAAGAAGCCCTGGGCTCCCGCCAGACCCGCTGGTTCAGCCCTCCTCCTCTCCCTAGGGTGGCTTCCAGCCTCTGCAGCCCCCACCCCCAACGCCCTGCTTTGGATGCTGCAGATACAGCTCAGTGCAGCAGCCCCTGCCTGCTGGAAGCGGGGGAAGGGAAGGAGAGACCGGAGTAGAAGTGAGGTTCCCGTCACTGCCAGAGGCTCCTCAGCATCCCTGTTTCTGTCCTTAGTGCGGGAAACCCTGGCCCTGCTCATCTTCCTTTAAAGTGTTCCTTCCCTTGCCCGTCTGCAGAACCATGCTCAGCAAAGGGGGCTGTGGCAGGGGTAAAGATGAGAATTTAAGTGGGTGCATATCTGGGTTAATGGGTGTGAAAAGTAAATGGTGTGGGGCTGGATGGGGGCAGGAGGGACCTCTAGGTGCACACCCAAGTGCTCCTCTAGGACTGGGAGGCATAGGGGATGTGGGTGAGGAAGGAGGGTCTCACCACCCCTCTCCCACCCATGGAGTTTCACTGCAGTGGTGCGGCGCCACCCATGCTCCCCCCACTTCTATTCCCTTCCCTGTGCCCTCCTCTCTTTCCCTCTCTGTCTCCATCTCTGTCTCTGCTTCCCCCTCCCTCTTCTATTGCTCAGTGTCTCTTGGTTTTTTCTCTTCCTCTGCATCTCTGTCTACTGTTTTTTGCATCTCCTTCTCACTCTGAATCTCTTGGAGACTCCTATCATGTCTGGGTCTTTTTGTCTCTGATTCCTGATCTCCTGTCTCTCTTGGTCTCTCTCTCTGTCTCTTTCAGGCCTCTTAGTCAATCTCTTGTCAAACCCCCCCCCCACACACACACCACCACACATCTATCTTTTTCTCTTCTTTACCTCTGAACCTGCCTGTCAGGGATTTCAGGAAACAAACATCATAGAAGAGTGCTGGCCCACATGAGGGTCCTGAAATCATCAGGGTCTTCCAGACCTCTCTGGCAGTTTTCAAATCACATCTCTTCCCGTCTGCTACCACCACTGTGCTAGACCAGCCACCCGGTTGCCATAGCAACCTGTCCGCGCATCCTTTCTCTCGGGACTGCCACTCTAACCGTAGGTCCTGCACTGGGACGACAGCGCAGGGCAGTGGGTGTTCAAGAGACCCCAAAGGAAGACAAGGAATGCGGTAAGGGGGGCCTCCGCCCATGGAAGGGGCAGACACCCCCTCCTTACTCCCTGCCCTTTTCAGTACTGGAATCTCCCTCCTAAGCTTAGATCCTGGAGCCCCGCCCTGCATCCCCTCCCCAGGTGATGCTCACCGTTTGTGGGGGTCTGGGTTGGGGTCGCCATGCTGAGCCAGAGCAGGGGGGCTGCTGAATGCTGAGGCAGCGAAGACACGGCTGCAGCAGCTGGAAGCAGGACAAACCGATGTGGGGGGGGAGATGGGGGAGAGCCCTGGTGTGGGGGGGGCCTGTAGCCAATGGGGGCCCGGGGAGCCCGCCCCCGTCCAGGCCACCCCCATCCCCGCCCCCGCCCACTGCCGACGTCCCCGCCCCTTCCTCAAGGGTGGGGGCGCCCCCTGCCGGGGCCAAGGGGCTCCCAGGCTTTCGCTCCCAGGGACTGAGATCAACAAAGTGCTGTCAAGAGAGAAAAGCACGTTTTATTGGTGGCATGGGGAGACCGCGGGGCAGGGCTGGGGTAGGGGACAGTGGGGGTGGCGATAGGAGTGCAGGTGGTGGGTGGGAGACGTCAGGAGCCAAGGGAATCTGTGGGATGAAAAGGGTGAGAGGCGAGGGCGGACTTCAAGCCCTCCTCACCACTCTCCCACCTTGGCACTTCGCCCCCTTATCATTGCCTGGTTCCTTTCCTCCCCCAGCTCAGTCTGAGCTGCAGGGCCTGGCTGAGTTCCATCGCGCCAGGTGTTTCTACCGCCTGCGAGTGGACAGACCTGCAGGGTTCACAGAGAGTCGGGGTGTCAGGAGGGGCACCCCTTAGGGCAGGGCAACTCGCAACCCCTGGTTTCAGATCAAGCCCCCTTCTCTCTAGACCCCAGGAAGGAGTGCAAGGAAAGGGGTTCTTGGAACCAGCCCTCACCCCCAAACACCCGCAGCCTCCCCAAACTCACGGCGGATGGAGCTGCGGAAAGTTCCCTCCTCTTCATCAGGCTCCCCAGTTCTGGGAAGGGAGGACGGGGAGGGGGGGACCAGTTTGGGATGGAGGAGAGGCAGCGGCTTCTAGGAGCCCCTCGGTGCCGGCCCCGGTCCCATGTCACACACAGATGGACCTCGGTCCAAATATGGGAGTGGGGGAGCACGCTCCGGGTCTGCCCAAAATGAGGAGCCCTCAGCAGCTTAAGTGAGTACACGTAGGCAATGGCAAGCTCCTCCAGGGATGTTGGGGAAGGGATTTGAAGTTAGTGGGGGAGGGACGATCAGCGGGATCAGAGAACCTGGTTGGAAACCCAGAACCCTCATCTTCCAGTGACTGATCTTGAGCAAATGTCTTTACTTCCCCGTGCCTCAGTTTCCTTATCTGTAAAATGGTGTTTATAAGAGCACCAACCTCATAGAGGTGTGGTGAGAGGTAAATAAAATAATATGCAAGGAAACAGCCTCTGGCCCATGGCACACACCGGTACATATTAGCTATTACTTATAATAACATCTGCAGTCGTTTTAGCAGGGAGAAGTTATTCGGATGTCGACTGGGCTTTAAATTTGTGTTTAAAGATGAATCAAGGCGCAAGGAACAGGACTCCAAGCTAAACTGGGCCGCGTGTGAGGTGATCTCATTCACCGCGGCTCGCTCTTTCCCAGCTCTTGGCGTTATCGCGCTTGGTGAATTTACATCTGCAGGGCTGTTGGAACCCACGGTCCCCGCCCGCGCTGGGAGGGTGCTCAGCCAGGCAGGGTATTCATCGCTTGGTCCCAGGACCTCGCTTGGGACAGGGCACATAGTAGATGCTTCAAACGTGTTCCCTGCAGGTTTCTGGCTGCAGGTTGGGTGCGCCTCCTGCCTCGCCCCCTTCGCCCCTCTAGAGCAGGAGGAGGCGAGTGAGGACGGGAGGGGCCTCTTACCTCTGCTGCTGGTTGAACTTGCACCGGCATCTCTTGCCTGTGGGGTAGGATGGGGAAACAGAGGCTGAGATTCGCTCCAGACGGGCACCCCACTGCGCTCACGCTGCAGCTCGCCCTGGCGAGGGGTGGAGCGGGACGGGCAGGGGGCGGGGCCCGGAGGGGCGGAGTTGGAGGCGGGCTGGGGCGGGGCCTGGGTGGGCGGAGTTGGAGGCGGGGCCGGGGCGGAGACCGGGGCGGGGCCAGGGCAGGTGCAGTCACTCACTCAGTATGATGAGGATGCCCAGAATGAAGAGGATCCCGGCGATGATGAGGCCTCCGATCCTCAGGGATTGGTAGTCTGTGAGCAGCCAGGAGAAAGGTGTGAGGGGGGAGTGGAGGGAGGGAGGGGGAGAGGAGCCAGCCGAATGAGAAGGAGTGAGCAGGGCAGGGAGGAGGAGAGGAGCAGGAGGCAGGGCAGAGGAAGGAAGGAGGGAAGAGATGAGGCAGTGGGAGGAGGATGGAGGGGAGGACGGAGAGAGGAGGCAGGGCAGAGGCAGCAGGAGCTCGGCCATGAAATACTTAGAGACACTGAGTCCAAAGGAGAGAGAGATAGAGTGAGATGGAAATAGAGACTGACAAGGGAGATCAAGAGAGAAAGAGAGAACAGGCAAACCCAGAGACTCCCTTGGACTCCTGAAATAGATGTTCCCCTCACCGTAGGTGAATGGGTCGTGTTCCTGTGGAGCTTCTGGAAAGAAAGAGACAAACCAGGGGTTGAATGCTTCCTGGGATCCAGGACAGGGAGGTGCATAAGACCCTTTTGGGGACTCTACCTTCTTAGACTGGGAGTTTGGGGGCAGGGAGCCTGCCCACTGTGGCTGAGCCTCTGCACTGTCCTGGGTAGGGTGGGGCCATCTCACTGACCCAGCATCCTGACATCTTACAGGTTGCCCATGAATTCATCCATCAGGGAGCCAACCTCCACCTACCCCCACCTCTACCTGACTTGGGGTATCTTCTCCCTTCTTCCAAATGCCAGCATGTGACTGGGGCCCATGTGGAGACCCCCAACTTCCTGGGGTCTCCCACTTGGTCCTCTCAGGGGCTTTCTCCTACCCTTGGGGATAAGGTCGGTAGCAGGCTTCCCCTCCTGGACTCACCTGCATTGGCCATGGTGAGGAGACCCACACAGAGAACCAAGATGTGGCTGAGAGATGCCATTGTCCTGAGGGGACAAAGGTCAGGAAAGATGTACCCTCATCCCTTCCCCCCCCCCCGCCCCGTATTGGGGCCTGAACCCAAGGGGTTAAGGCACAGACAATCGGGGACTTAATCACAAAAATGTCAGCATTCATTCGGCTTAGTTGCCTAAGAAACAGGGACACCTCTTGCTTCATGGGACTGTGTCACCAAACAACAGGGTCACACAATGGTGCAACAGCGAGAGCAAAACACACAGTCCACAGGGGTCTCCTACAATCCTCCACCTCCCCACAGCAGGCCCCAGATTTCCCACACCTACCCTAGCAGGGACATAGAATGCTTCCTCGACAGGTGGAGAGACAACGCACAGTGAGATGGTGGGACACGCCTCGGTCCCGCCTGCCTGCACACCACGGCCTTGCTGTGTCCTGTTCAGTCCCACTCCCCTGCCCTCTGCTGTCTGCCCGCTCTCTGCCTGACCCTGGGTATAAATATCTCTCACTTCACCCCGGAGGAATTCGCCCAAGCCACCATGGCAACAGCTTTCCTTCTCCCACTTGGGGGTCACACATAACTCTGTCTGGGTGAGGCCCAGCGACCACATCCCCAAGGGTGCCCGGAGGGCTGGGCCATCCCTTTTCTGTCCTAGAAGCTGTGAGAAAAGGAGGAAGCAGCTCCTCTGGCTGCCTCTGGGTGACATCTTTCATAACCTGACACCAGGCGAGTGACATAAGGCCCAGGCTAGTGGGCCTGAGAGAGAGAAGACAGATGGCCAGGCAGGGACACACACACATGCACACATACACATATACAGTGGGAGGGGCTAGAATGGAGACAACACCCTCTCCCCACACTGCTGGTTGGAGGAACATGGGGTGTAGACACAGTCAGGCACACATCTTCCTCCTCTGGGCCTCAATGCCCCCAAACAGTGACGCAGACAGACCTACACGTGTGAGTTTCCAAGCCCCACACCCAGCCAGGGGGCTCACATAGCAGGGGAAGGGAGGAGTTGCACCCTTGCTCCCACCCCTGGGTAACCCCACTGTCCCTGTATTCTCCTCCCCCTTGGGTCAGGCCTGCTGGGAAGCCATGGGGTGGCCACTCCTGCTCCCAAAATAGGCCTCCCAGCCAGGGGAGGGAAGAGGTCTGGAGGGGAGGGGTGGGGACGCTCACCCCTATCAGGCTGTGTCCTGCTGAAAGATGGCCCCCAAATGTCCGGTTGTGCCTGGGGGCTGACACTTTGTACCCCTCGGCCCAGAGCTGGACGCGCCGCCCCCCACAGGCTCCCTCCTGGCCCCACCCCACCCTTACCCTCCCCAACCAGCAGCTGTAACTGGAGCCCGGGCTGGAGGGGGGCCAGGGGGCGGCCCCCAGCCCAGACCGCCCTGGCCTGCTAGGTTAACTCTCTCAGCTCAGAGTGAGGAACTGCAGGCGGCTGGCTGGCTGGCTGGCGTGGGGACTGCTCTGAGCCGCACACTCACACCCGCACACGCAAGCCTGCTTTGGCACAGGGCTTCTGATTGTGGGTGGGAACAAGATTTCTGTGCTGTTCTCTGGGCATTAGGCCCCACTAGGGCTAAGGTCACTCAGGCCAAGGGCGTAGGAGCCCAGTGACCTCTGATCGCACGCTGCTCTTGACCACAGCTCTTGACAGTACCATAGTGCACAGCACTGTCTTATTTTAGGGGGTCTTTAAGTGTGTATGTTTGTGTGTGTGTGCTGTCTGCTGCTGACTGTGTGGTTCACTGGGATGCACACACGCACACACACACAGAAGAGAGAGAGAAGCCCAAAGTCACAGACATACAGCCAGCACTGACAGCAGACATGAAATCCCCCGACAAACACATATGGGTACATACAAACAGACTTTCCCACTGATAATATGCACAAAGCAGTCCAGATGGCCCCACTTCTGTCCTGTCTTATAAGCAAGAGCAAAGATACACACTTTCGTGAAGACCTGGTCACCAATGGCCATATACATACACCAATACACAGAAGCTCACCGGAAAAGGCAGGCACATGCCAGCATGCCCATATCTGGAAGAGGGGAAGGCCGTGAACTGGTGTACTCACGTGCTTCATTCCCATGGCACACTGAAGCAAATACACTGCTGAGGCCACCCACCACACAGCCACAGATACACAGCACACATTTGTGTGCACACCCTGTGCACAAGCAAGAAGATACATGGTAAGTACAGACATATATGCCGTCACACTGTGCTACACACTGCAAAGCCACAGACACGTGTTCAACCTGGAACATGACCTTTTGGTCATGTGACCCCTACAGTGCTGGGGAAAAACACTCTTGGGGTCCTTGTGACCTTGGGCAGGCTGTGACCTCTCTGTCCATCATGTTCCTATGCTATAGGTTAAGGTTATACCTGTAACCCCTGACTTGGCTCAGAGGTCTTCGAATTTGACAGTGTCTTATTCTCAACTCCATTTTAGAGATGAGAAAGCCGCTGTCTTGTAGAGATGGTTCTCCTGACGCCCCCTGGTGGTTAAGGACAGAATGTCCGCCAACCTCAAGCAGACACCATAATGCAGGAGAGCCTGCTGGGGTTCACACCAGACACACTCATAGCTCTGTCTCGCGTGCACATGCACAAGCACACACATACACCTGGCCTCAGAGGACCCAGGAGGCTCTAAAAGGCTACCTCATTCCTATCTGTCTCCTCCTTTCAGCCTCTGCCCCTGGCGGCCCTGTGCCCCAGGTCACCAGCCATCCCTGGTTAATGATAATCATGATGTTTATGTAGCATGGGGAGTGCGCAGGGGAAGCAAGTGGAGGGGAGGGGGGAAATCAGGGGGCCCTGGCCAGCTCTTGGTCAATCCAGCATTCTTTCCTCCTGGGGCTAACGCTGGAGCCCTGACTGTGCCTCAGCGCTTTGTAGCTGTGTGATGTTGGGCAAATGACTTAACCTGTCTGAGGCTGGCTCAGTTACTCCTTTTGTAAAATGGAGAGAAGAATAGTATTCATTCAGAGGGAGGTTGGGAGAGTTACCTAGAACAATCCATGTAATTAAGAAAAGGTTAACTGTGTCATAAAAGTCAAGGTCATCTTCTCAGTGTACACTGGAGTGAGAGCCCTGGGGCTGGGCATCTGTTGAGAGGGCTCAGGGTTGTCTTTGTCCCCTCTGGTCCCAGGTACCAAGCCCTTTGTCTATACCTTCAAAGACCCTGTGAGAGCTTTATTGTGCCTATTTTCAGCTAAGGGAACAAAACACAATTTTTTTTGGGTGGCCTTAGGGTTTGAACTCAGGATCTTGCACTTGTTAGACAAGCATTCTACCACTTGAGCCACTCCCATGTTCTTTTTCCTTTTAGTTTGCTTCTCAGATAGGGTCTCACTCTTTCGCCAGGCCGGCCTCAGACAGTCATCCTCCTACCTCTGCCTCCAGAGCAGGTGAGGTTATGAACATGCACCACTGTGTCTGGTCCTCACAAGCTGTTTGCGTGTAAGACAGGACCTAGAGCCAGCACTCACCACCAAGCCTGCCTACCCCGTGGGATGTTTACTCTGTCCTGAACCCCAAGAGAGTAAGTTGCCTTTGTTGTCTCACTGAATCCTCTCCTCAAACTGGAAAGTAGGTGCCATGCACACTCACTTAACAGATAAGAAAACTGAGGACCAAGGAGGTTGAGTCACCTGCTTGAAGGTACACAGGAATGCACCGGACCTAGATCTGTGTGACCACAGGGCTGGCACTGTTAAACCCCATCTCCTTGCCCCAGTGGCAAGTCTCCCGATCGCAGATAGCGAGGGGCTTAGGTTAGCAGCTGACTGGCACCATGAAATGAATTGACTCAGTTTCCCCATCTGTAAATAGGAATAGTAACACTACCTACCTTGTGGGTTACTGTGAGAATTGAGTCAATTCACAGAGTAGACGTTACTGCAACTCAGGCTGAGTAGCAAATGTCATTTATGTGTTTTCTTATTTAGTGGACAAAATCTATCCAAACTGATAAAAGCTTGGTCCAAATGAAAACAACCAGTTATCCATATATCCATGAATGCTGGTCTCCAAAGAAAGAATGCAAAACAATCTGGAGAGGACCTGGAGCTAGCGGCCTGGGATTGAGTCCTGGCACTGCCTCCAGCTGGGACACCCTGACCTGGGTGACCCTGATCTCTGCCCTCAGTTTCTCTACCTGCAAAGTGGTGATGAGAAAAGTACCAACCCCAGGCGGCGGTGATGAAGATGTCAACAGAGGAACTTCAGGGGCAAAGCTCAGGGTGGAGCAAATACAGAAGGGGACATGGCATCACTGCTGTGTCCTGGGGCTGAGTTCACCTCTAGTGGGGGGTGGGCATTCAAAGGGTTAATTTCAGGGGAGGGGAGGGAGGTCTGGGTTTGAGGCAGGGCAGTGTTTTTGCTAAGTGTGACCACCAGAGGGAGCAGCTGGACCTGAGCTGGCACTCCAAGCCTCAGTGACAGCGTCCACCACACCCTCCAGGAGGCAGGCGAGCGGACCCAGCTGGGAGCAGCCAGGATGTCCCCCTGCCCTCAGGGGCCTCTCCTCCCACCCCTCCCATCTGCAGAGCCATCTGTCCTCACCCTGGGGACATCCTGGGCACACTCCCTGATGGATGGAGTGAGGAATCTAGGGAGGGGGCTGGCCTGGCCTGGAGAGGCCGGGGCGGCTCCAGCCCTTGGTGGCCCCGCCTCCTCCCCAAGGGCCATTCAGTCCCTTCCCCAGGGCTCTTCGTCCTATGGCCTCTGACCCCCTCCTCTGTCTTACCCAGCTTGCCCGAGCATCGAGCACCGCAGGCAGAGCACATCCCTTTCCCAAACCATCAGGGAGAAGGGGCGTGGGTGGAGACACAGAAACCACTGGGCATTTGAAAGGGGGCAGGGAGGCGAGAAATACAAACACTAGGCAGCGGGGACACACACACACACACACACACACACACACACACACACACACACACACCAGACAGACCTAAAAAGACCGAACCAGAGACAGAGAGAGAAACAAGGATAGAAATAGGGACCAAGATTGAGAGTGACAAACAGACTGGAAAAGAGGGACAGAAAGTCGGGATAGAAAGAGCAACAGACAGAACAGAAATACAGGGAGAAGGGCAGGCAACAGAGACCAGGAGAAAAGGTGGTCGGAGAAGCAGGGCAGAGCGTCCAGCGGCAGGATGGAGAAGCGTCTGGCAGAGATGTAGCGACCTGGGCCCAGCTGGGCGGGAGGCAGTGGGAGCCTCGGCCGGTGAGGGCGGGAGGGGGACAGGGGCATGGGAGGCACAAGGATTCTCCTGTTACTGCCACTCCTGCTGGCTGGGGTGGAGGCAGGGGTAGCCTGGAGACCCCCAAAGGGAAAGTGTCCTCAACGCTGTTCCTGCTCCAAGGACAGTGCTCTGTGTGAGGGCTCTCCAGAGCTACCTGAGAGTTTCTCCCCATCGCTGCTGTCACTGTGAGTGCCAGGCCCTCTGTGGGCCTGGGGGTGGCATGGGGTGGAGGTCCTGGGATCCAGGGGCTGGGGGGTGCCAGGGTTCCCATGAGGATCTTGGGCAGCAAAGGATGTCGGGATACTTGCAAGGGGGCTACTGGGGAAATCCCAAAGGGCAAGGGACCATGGGGGGCCTAGGGAGTGGGACAGTCAGGGGGTGGGCTGAGTACTGTCGGAACCCTTGCCAAGTAGGGGGCATGTGGGAAACACACCTGGCTCAGGGAGCCAGGACAGGGGCTCCCAGGCAGCAGAGGGCTTGGGTTGGGACTGGAGCTTTCCTCACCCACCTCTGCCTGGTCCCCAGCTCACTGGTCAGGACAGGAGTTCCCCAGCTGAAGGCTGGCAGCTTCTTGAGGATGCCATCACTGTACCTGCTGTGAGTAGGGCCTGCTGGGCCCAAAAACCAGCTCCTTGGAGGGGGTGCTCCTGCACCTTCTGGGGGGCGTGCACACGTGGGCATGGGGTGTTGGGCACATGTGAGGGGTGTTGGGCACATGTGAGGAGTGTGTGAAAACATCTGTGTCCATGCACAGCCACCCACATGCATGTGTGTGTGTGCCCATGGGCTGAGGGTAGAGACCAAGGTTACCATGTCAGATCTAAGTCAGCAACCCTGGAAAAATCTGTCTTGCTGCCTTCCCAGCCTCTTCACATCCAACTCCTTCTCTGTGATTGAGGACGATGCGTTCGCTGGCCTCTCACACTTGCAGTACCTGTGAGTAAGGCCAGGGGCTGGGGACAGGTGGGCCGGGAGGAGATGGCCATGTCATTTGTGGCCCTGGGGTGTCTAGACAAAGGCCTTTCTGGTAGAGGCAGGAGGCCAGCTCTGTGATGGCATTAGGACTACAGAGCAGCTCTCATCTCAGCCTACTTTCCTCACTTCTCTGCACTTTGAGATGCCCCAAGGGCCTGGAGGGCCAGACTCAGTTCTGGCCCTACCTGACTCATGGGCCAGGAGGGTGCGAGCAGTGGTCAGGTGGCGCTGTGCGTGTGATAGCAGAGTCGGTAGTATTGATCAGGTGGGTTGTGCTGGGACTGGAGGTGACAGTGTGGCACTGATGATGTGTGACAATGCTGGCGTTGGTGATGACATTGGTGCTGCTAATGGAGAAGTGATGACCTTGTGAGTTCCAGTGATGGTGATAAAAATGGTGGACCCCATGGCTATGGTGCTGTTGGTGCCACTGTGTTAGTGGTAGTTAACAGTGCCATGGCGGGTGGTGATTATGGGGTCCCCACGCTGTGGGAAGGATATTGGTGCTGGTTTTATGATGATGGAGGTGTCAATATTTAGGAAAATGGCAGCTGTGGTTCTGATGGTGGGTAATGTGACATCTGGGGCTAACAGTGATGCTGTTGGGGTCAGCAGTGCTGGTGCTGATGTTTGTTGGTGAATGGCAGGCTTTTGGGTATTGATCATGAAGCTGTGTTGTTGGTGATACTTATCAGTGTGGTAGGCACGGGACTTGGTGATTGGTACTAAGGTGGAAGTGGATGGTGAGTGGTGCTGGTGACAGTGGTGGCATGGTGTGTTGTATAATGGCACTGACGGGGTTTGGCAGTCAGGTAGAGGCATGGGTGTTGAGGATGCCAGCATTGTTTTTGGTCATAAGGGATGATGTAGAGATACTGGGGTTGGTGACAATGGTGGCTGGATTCACAGAGAGTCTGGCAGTGACCACTGGGCCAGGTCCCTGGCCCCTGGGACTGTGGGCTGGGACCCTGGTGAGGAGAGGTTTCTGAGAAGGCTTTCCCTGGGGTTCTTCAGGGCATTGGGGGTGAAGGCAGCACCTTCTAGTGGCTTCCATGATGAGTTCCCCCAGTCCCTGGTGCGTCCCACTTACCCCACCTTCCCTCCACAGCTTCATTGAGGACAACGAGATCGGCTCCATCTCTAAGAATGCTCTCAGAGGACTTCGCTCCCTCACACACCTGTGAGTGCTCCTCTGCCACCCCCATGACAAGTACCTCATGCTGCCCTCAAGGACGCGTTGTCCTCTGATTGCTACTAATCGTCCCTCACCTTCTCCTCCTCCCCCAGAAGCCTGGCCAATAACCACCTGGAGTCCCTCCCCAGATTCCTGTTCCGAGGC